TATATTTATATTTATATTTATATTTATATTTATGCTTATGTTGATATTTGTATTTATATAAATCATTTATTTATTTTTATGTTTATATTTATGATATATTTATATTTATTAATTTTATAAATACAAAAGCATCCACAGTTGTTGCGAATATGGAACAATTGGTAGCCTACTAAATGACTGTTTTAATTCTTTTTTTGTTTTCGATTACTTATTTCGCCCATTTTAATCTTCTAATCATTTATAAAAATTTGGAATAAAAAATTATTTACTAGCTTTCCGACACATTATTGTTTCGCTGTAACTGAACAGAACAACCGTATACTGGCTAAAAGATAGCAACGAAGACTAATGGTACTAGAACATAGAAAAAAGGTGAAAAGAAACAAATTTTAAAAAAAAAATAATAATTAAAATGTATAAATATACTTTTTCTTCTCCTCCACCCACTCCACCTTCACATCCTCATCAATACTTAAGAACAGTAACAAAATATTCAAATATTTCAATTGCACAATGATACCCAACATTCATATAAATCTGTTCATCAGATGAGTACATCTTTACAGCAGAAGAATAAGAGAAAAGAAAAAAAAAGAAGAAAAGTTGATAAAGATAAATGAAGCTGATTTTTGTCTCTTCCCGTACTTTGTTTGTTCTTTTTTTTTCTTTAAGCCCACAGATGGAAGTCGCCATATTAATGGAGTAAATGTGATTCGGCAGTGAAAAAGTGAGTTTAAATCTAAGAAGAAACAAGTAAAAAATAGCTAATATTTCTGAGAAAACTTTTAAAAGAATTGTTTTTGAAAAGTGGCAACAAAACCAAAATTAACTACCGCCACTAACACCAACCAAACGCCATCTAATAATTCATCTTCGACAGCAGAATGAAGCCCGGATTTACTGCTGACGATGCCAAGTGGCTTTATCAGTCAACAGTAACTTCCGGTTTCGTAAACTTCTACTATACAATTTCCAGTCCACTAACGTCAAATAAAAATTCGGAAAAAAAGGCTAATTTTTTTCTTTTTCTTTCTTTATTCACAAGAATGTAACATTAACCAAAAACTTTAGGTCTTAACTGAGAACAGTACGAGAAAAACGGAAAGGATTCCCGAAATTGTCTGAAAACGAAAATTCTCTTTCCAGATCAGCTATCTCCATTCTATCTATCAACAGACCAGTGATAATAGCAAAAGTGCAAAACTGTTCGTAACTAATCTTTCAGGTTTTCAAACAAATTTTAAAAAACAGACAGCAACGACACCAACACCAATAACAACAGCAGCCAAAAAAAAACATTATGAATCGAGGAAAATAATAAAAACAACAACAAAAAAATTTAAAAACCATTAAAAAAGCTATAAATGAGCAGAAGTGATCTATAAGATGACAAAAGAGAAAGACGAAAAAAATTGGCAGCCAGAAAGATGTGTACACTTAAAGCGTTCAATTAACAGTTGCTAAAAAGCAAAACTTAATTGACAAAACCATATGACGTCTGTATGTTTAAAAAAAAAATGAACCAAACGAACAAAATGGATTATAGAG